CTTAAAAAAAAAAAAAAAGAAAGAAGTTTGGAGATAGGTCCTTCAGGGCTGGTCATGATGTCATCAGTGACCCAGGCTCCTCCTGTTTGCCATCTTTGGTGTGTGGCTTACATTCCCAAGGATGCCTCATGGTTGTATTGTAGCTGCCAATGATCCAGCCATCCCATATATGTTCCAGGCAGGAAGAAAGTCAGGGAGGCAAAAACAACTTCACTGACTGTTGGGCAGCTTAAAAGTTTCTTTCCGTGAAGACTCAGTCAATGCCTTCTGTGTTTACATCTCACTGGCCATCTCTATTGGAGAGGAGGATTGGAAATAGAACTTCAGCTGGGCACATTGCCACCCCAAATACAATCAGGAGTTTGTTGTTAAGGTGTAAGCGGAGAATGGATAGCAAACGTCTGACAAAGATATGAACCCAGAGAGTGTGACCACACAGCCCTGCTCTAATCCAGTAGTTCCGGCCCAGGAACTGCGCTCCTGGGTCATTATCCTTTCCTTCTCTGTGACATATTTTTTTCTTTGTTGGCATGCACCTGGTTACCGGGATGGCAGTGCCATTCTCTGGTAGGCCACTGGGGGGCAGCAAAGCACAAGGCACCCATTTTGCCCCTCTGGCTCAGAGAGGCCTCTCCCAGGAATGAAACTTCCAAGCAGGTCCCCAGTCCAAGGAGACCCTCCTCAAGCTGAGCACGTGCTTGGGGTCCCATGTCCTCAGCTCAGGGCCATCCAGTGTCCAGATGCTTCCTTGGGGCTGGGACTGGTGCCGTTCTGCATCTCGGGGTTTTGAAGGCCTCAAAAGGGGCACCTTGGGGAGGCTGGTGGGGCAGCCTCCAACATCTCCCCCACCTCTGAAGTCCTTCCATCCCCTCTTTGTTCTTTTGGTTGTAGCATGACTTCTGGAGGCCTCTTTTCAAATGCAAATACTCCAAACAGGAGAATTTGTCTTGAAAGCAATGGGATCACAAGAGCCCTTGTTTCTTACCCCCTGCTAAAGATCGTTTACCTCCGTTCTAGTCTTGGAACCTTTCCACACACCTTCCATTCCATCATCTTCTGCCCCTCTGGGAGTAGTGGTGTCACCTGTCCCTTAACAGGAGGGTTTTGCATAAGAGTTTGGCAGCCAGGCCCTGGGAACAAACGCTTGGGTCTGATGCCGTCGCATCAGGCTCTCCGTTTAACCACGGGATCCCCTCATGCACCTGTAGGTGAGACGGCAGATCTTGCCGCCACCGGAGGTCTCTCGGCCCCGGGCGCTGGGCACAGAGGAAGCTGCTGGGCGTGGCGGCTGAGTGACGGTCCAGATCTTGGCTTCCCTCTCCGGGCTGTGTGCTTTGGAGCCTCCGTTTCCTCACCTGGAAAATGGGGGGTGTGGATAGGACTGACCCTTTGGGACTGTTATTTGGGATGATGCATATGGAGCCACGGGGAACAGCTCCTCACAGGGCCGGGTTCACCTCAGCAAGCCACGGACTCAGAGGGAGAGACAGGAAGTGACCCGAAGCTTTCACCCCAGAGCAGGGATTCTCAGCCCGGGGCTGCAAATCAGATTCACCTTGGAGGCTTTAAAATTCCTGAGGCCCGGAATCTCTGAGGCTGGGGCCAAGGCAGCAGGTGTTTTGAAGCTTCCAGGTGATACCAATGGGCAGCCAAGATCCAGTGGACTTGCAGGGTTTCTCAAACTTCACCGTGCATCACAGTCTCCTGGAGGTTCATTAAAACACACGTTGCCAGGCCCATCCCCAGAGCCTCTGAATCAGGGTCTGGACTGGAGCCCAAGAATTTACATTTCGAACAAGTTGCCTGGTAAAGCCGATACTCTTGGTCCTGGGACCCCACTTTGAGAACCACTGGGCTAGCATGATGTGTTTTAAACTGCAAGTGGTAAAATCAGTTCGTCGGATCAAACCAGCATTTAAAAATAATGAAACAGAACAGAAAAGATGAAAACACGCAGTGAGAGTATTGATTTGTGAAACTTACACTTCATTTGATTAGATAATACACGTGAACACACACCCATGGGCACACGTCTGTATGTATGTATGCACACATTGGGCTGCAATGTAAAATGTATTCCTTCCTGTGGGCCACAAAGTTAAAAAAATGAATCACCAGCTTCTAAGAGATATTGTAATCCTGGGGCACCTGGGTGGCTCAGTCAGTTCAGCATCTGACTCTTGGTCTCAGCTCAGGTCTTGATCTCAGGGTTGTGAGTTCAAGCCCCACTTTGGGCCAATGCTGGGTGTGGAGCCTATTTAAAATAAAATTAGGGGCGCCTGGGTGGCTCAGTTGGTTAAGCAACTGCCTTCGGTTCAGGTCATGATCCTGGAGTCCCGGGATCGAGTCCCGCATCGGGCTCCCTGCTCGGCAGGGAGTCTGCTTCTCCCTCTGACCTTCCTCCCTCTCATGCTCTCTGTCTCTCATTCTCTCTCTCAAATAAATAAATAAAATCTTTAAAAAAAATTAAATTAAAAGTTATAGCAATTCAGTACACATATAGACACATGTACGTATATGTAAGTGAAACAAAATGTACATTTAACAATATTTCCCCTCTTTACCTGTAATGCATATTAGTATTTGCTCTTCCTTTCTTTTCTGTTCTATTTATTTTCTTTCTTTAAAATGCTGATTGAGGCTTATAAGTTGATTTGGCACCCCCTGAGAGGTTTGAAAATCTGTAGTTCAGAGACCCTGTTTCCAGGGGGTCCCAAACTCCCATTGGCACAGAAGGTCCTCATTGGGGGTGGGGGGCTGAGCCCGGGGTGGCAGTCTGGCTGATGCGAGGTGGGAATTGGGGTCTGTTACCAGGAGAAACTGAAGAAGACCACAGAGGAGGCAGATAGGTATGAGAACAGCTACAAGGAAATCAGCAAGACCTTGGAGTATCTCAAGAACTCGGTGGAGAATCTGTTTAAAAAGATTAATTGTGATGCCACCACAATCCTGGGGCACTTAGGGGAGACGGGGAAAATCACGGACAACAACCTTCCACAGTACTTTGGTGAGTCAAGCTGGGGCCCGTTGGACCATTAGGAACCATTTCCAGAGCTTTCTATGAGCAGGCACGAGGACTTGTTCTTTGGGTGGTGGTGAGCCTAGTGGAGAAGCATTGGGCACTAACGCTGGCCTGCCTGGGTTCAAATCCTGGTCCTCCTCTTACTAGTCGTGGGCCGTTGGGCAACTTTTTGAACCTCTCCATGCTTTAGTTTTTTCATCCAAAAAAAAAAAAATTGAGGAGTAAACCTAACACCTACCTCATAAGATTGTTGGGAAGATTAAATAAAATTTAATTTTAGTAAAACTTTATGATCATATCAATAGAGACAGAAGAAGCATTTGACAAATTCAACATCCATTCATGAAAGACTCTCCACAAACTAGAACTGGAAGGAAACTTGCTTAACCTTGAAGGGTGTCTACAAAACACCTACAGTTAGGGGCGCCTGGGTGGCTCAGGTGGTTAAGTGTCCACCTTCAGTTCAGGTCATGATCCTGGGCTCCTGGGATCAAGCCCCACATAGGGCTCCCTGCTCAGCAGGGAGTCAGCTATCTCCTCTCCCTCTGCCCCTCCCCCCTGCTTGTGCTCTCTCTCTTTCTCTTAAACAAACAAACCTACAGCTAACCTCACCCTTGAGGGTGAAAAATTGAATGTTTTCCCTCTAAGATCAGGAACAAGGCAAGAATGTTTGCTCTCACTGCTCCTATTCAATATCATAGTGATGGTCCTAAGCAATACAATAAGGCAAGAAAAAGAAATGAAAAGCATACAGGTTGGAAAGGAAGAAATAAGGTGCTCAGAGCGGTGCCTGGCATGTAGCAAATGCCTATTTCACACATTTCTAGCCATAAGCCTGAGCTCAGGATAGAGCAGGAGGGATGCACCTCCACAGATCAGGACAATTTGGAATGAACAGCTTGCACAGCTCTTAGAATAAAACCTATGGTTCTTAATACCATCTGTGTTTGGGAGTTTCCCATGATGCCCCCTCCTGCCAGGTTCAGTGATTTGCTAGGAGGGCTCACAGACTCAGCATATGGTGGTACTTGGGGCTATGATTTGTTACAGCAAAAGGATAAAAAGCAACATCAGCAAAAGGAAAAAGGAGCCTGGAGTGAAGTCTGGAGGAAGCCAGGAGCAAGCTTCCAAGGGTTCTCTCCCAGTGGGGTCACACAGGATGTGCTTAATTCCCCCAGCATTGAGTTGTGCCCATAGCTGAAATGTTGTCAACCAGGGAAGCTCATTAGAGACACTGTGCCCAGGGTGTGGGAAAAAACAGGTGTTTAGCAGAAACACGTTTTGTATACACAGTTTAGGCACACTGAGCTGCTGTTATCAGTTAATGATGATAGGAACCTTCCTGAAACCCAAGTTCCCCGATGCCAGCCTGGTGCCAACCTGGGAAGCAGGCCTTTCAAAGAAGAGGGCACGTATTGCATGGAGCACTGGGTGTTATACGCTAACAAGGAATCATGGAACACTACATCAAAAACTAACGATGTAATGTATGGTGATTAACATAATAAAATTAAAAAAAAGAAGATCAGTCAGGACTGCTGTGTTAACTCCTTCCTGCCCACAGCCTATGAGGTTCTGCACAGCCTGGCCCCTGCTTCCATTTCTCAACTCCCTCGTCCTACTCTCTGTCCTTGCTTACCACTTCAAGTCACACTCTCCTATGTATTCTTGCAACCCTCCCCTCAACACATTCCCACCTCAGGGCCTTTGCACAAGCTGTTCCTGGAATCCTTGTCCCAGTTCCTCCTCATTCTCAGATTTCAGTTTAAATGTCCTTTCTCTAGCAAGGCTTTCCTCTGCTGCCTGACCTGTAGCTGGTCTCCCCTCCACACACACTATTATTCCCTGTCATGGCAGCCCCTTTATGTAGCAGTCACCCAGTTTGTCTCCATGTACAGGTGGCTCTCACTCTCTGAATCTATGAGGTTTTCGAGATCTGATAGCAAGTTCCAGATGCAAATATTTTTGGTTCCCGATTTTCAGAAAGAATAGCCACAGTACAGGTAGTGTAAGGTTTATTTAAAACATTGTATCCAAATCCAGTAGTTACCTAATCTAGATAATGAGCATCCGTATGGCAAGGGATATGTTTATCTATTTGTTTCCTTGTTGAATTTGTCTTTCTTTCCATCTTCTTCACATACACTGAAAGTTATGAGCTTCATCAGCTCAGGGACTGCATCTTGTCTTCGTTGTTACTGTTACTGTTGTTTTGTTTTCCCCCATGCATTGGGAGCATCCAGCACTGCGCCTGGCAGGCATCCGATAATCATTTGTAGAGTGAGTGAATGAACACACGCCTCTGGTGACAGTAGGGGGCTATGAAACACAGAGGTAGGGCAGGTCCCCCGGAATAGGCAGGTCAGAGAAACGTTCCTGCAGGGGGCAGAGCCCTGATCCAAGTCTGAAAACACCAGCAGGCATTATTCAGGGAGGGGTGTGGGGAAAGGCATTCTCGGCAGAAGGAACAGCATGAGCAAAGGCCCAGAAGCCTGAGACAGAGAGTGCATAGGGGAAAAAAATCAGTAGTTTAAGGGGCTGCCCAGGGCTCCCAGTTTTTGGTGTAACCCAGTGTTTCTCAACCTCCTTTTCATTATTGCCTCCCAAGGAGTCTTTTTTTTTTTTTTTAAAGATTTTATTTATTTATTTGAGACAGAGAGAAGGAGAGAGAGAGAGCACATGAGAGGGGGGAGGGTCAGAGAGAGAAGCAGGCTCCCTGCCGAGCAGGGAGCCCGATGCGGGACTCGATCCAGGGACTCCAGGATCATGACCTGAGCCGAAAGCAGTCGCTTAACCAACTGAGCCACCCAGGCGCCCCCAAGGAGTCTTTTTAGACATTCTTTTCCTTATTGTTGTCCTCAGGCAATTTTAACACTCTTGATACACTGTCTAGTTGTTTATGTTCTGTATGCATATCTGTTTTATGTTATAAAGTCAGATTTGTTGTTGTTGTTGTTGTTGTTGCCTCTCAACTATCAAATTTTGCCCCCTCGGGGTGATACTGCCCCCTGGAGAATGCATGGGATAACCCACAAGAAAGGCCTCCTCCAGTCCCTGCCCTTCCTCTCCAGCAGGGGGCGTCACGCCCAATCCCTACCACGCCTCCCCACCCCGAACCAGGTCCCTCAGCTGCCGCCTTGGTTCTGATCGATTTTTTTCCAGCCATCATTGAGAAGAAGACCAACGACCTGCTGCTGCTAGAGTCCTACAAGCGGATCCTGGAGATGGAAGGGGCAGAGACTGAGGTCCAGCCGCCATTTGTCAACCCTTTCTGGGGCGGCTCTGCCCTCCTCAAGCCTGCAGAACCCATCAAGGTCGTCCCCCCAGTGTTCGGGGCTGACCCCTTCGGCGACAAGTTGGATGAAGGTGAGTTCTCCTCCTCCTGCGACCTGCGCATGTAGCTAGGAGACCTGTGCTGGCGAGAGACTGCAGGCTAGAGCCTCAGTTTCCCCTTATGAGCCTCGTGGGCCCATGTGTTCCATTGGGTTCCACCGTGGTTGTGGCCCTTGACTGTTTCTCCAGGGGATGCTTCTCCTTAGGGCGCAACGAAGATCCCGGAGTTTAGTGATCCTGGATATATGTTTTTTTAAAGCACTACTTTGTGACCGTTTCAAATGAACCTTAAAATGTCCACAGTTAACAAACTGGCAAATTGCAGGCACACGAGGTTCCCTGATCCCATCTGTCCCCCTCACTCTATGCCCCTGAGTCTTACTCCACCCTTGGCCCGCCCCAACCATGTCCCCCAACCTCATGGCTGAAGCAGCTGTGACTTGGCTGGTGACAGAAGCGGATGCCTAACTGTGGCCCCTGGGGCCAGGCTGTTGACCTTCCCGCCTTTCTGGGGCCGAAGCTCAGGACGCTCCCCTTACTGTGGGAAGCAGCCCTTCTCTCTGGAGGTGGGGAGAAAATCGGCCCCACCTGGGTTTTATTTTATTTTATTTTATTTTAAAGATTTTATTTATTTATTTGAGAGAGAGAATGAGAGAGAGAGCACATGAGAGGGGGGAGCGTCAGAAGGAGAAGCAGACTCCCTGCTGAGCAGGAAGCCTGATGCGGGACTCGATCCTGAGACTCCAGGATCATGACCTGAGCCGAAGGCAGTCGCTTAACCAACTGAGCCACCCAGGCGCCCCGCCCTAAAAGTCACAGGTGTGGCAAGCCTGAGACATGGATACACCTGTTAAGCCCATAATCTCACCCTTGCAAACTGGTCCTTCAAGAAGCATTTACTCAAGAGTCCAAGATGAAAGTAGGACGATGTTCACTGCAGCCCCAAACCGGAAGTGACTGAAATGCCCACCCATTAGAAACTGGTTACATGATACCCTCTAGTTCCATCCACGCCATTGCAAATGAATTACAGTTCACCCATCCATGCAATAGGAATACTATGCAGACACAGAAAAGAACGCAATGGGACAGTATTAACTCTCTCTCTCTCTCACACACAGGGGATATCAATTATATATATAATTGTAATAAATATGGATAATAAGAATATATATACATATATATATATTCAGTAATTCTCAACCAGGGGTGATTTACCCCTTAGGGGACTTTTGGCAATGTCTGGAGATATTTTTGGTTATCACAACTGGGAGGTGGGGGTTGCTGTTGGCATCTAGTGGCCAGGGATGCTGTTAAAAATTCTACAGTGTACAAGACAGCCCTTGACAACCCTGATGTATAATAGGGAAAGAGATGTATATAACGAGAGAGAGAGAGAGAGGAGGAGGAGGAGGAGGAGGGAGGAAGGTATCTTGATAATGCATATAAAACAGGGTTTTATAGGCTGACTTACAGTGGGTACTTCTGGTGGTGATTTACAGAGAACTTTGCATTTCTAAGTTAAACCATTCTCTATTGTTTAAATTTTTCTTTTACAATGATCTTGAGCAGCTTTAGTAATCAGAGAAAACTGGGTTTTTTTAAAAAGTTGTCCCATGGGCGCCTGGGTGGCTCAGTTGGTTAAGCGACTGCCTTCGGCTCAGGATCGAGTCCCACATCGGGCTCCCTGCTCGGCGGGGAGTCTGCTTCTCCCTCTGACCCTCCTCCCTCTCAGGCCTCTCTCTCTCTCTCATTCTCTCTCAAATAAATAAATAAAAATCTAAAAAAAAAAAAAAGTCCTACTTCCCTAAGTAGCACTTCAGGTGTGCAGGTGTGTCAATGATGGGGGGGACTGGGGGAAGCGTGCCAACACACAGGTGTGCGCACGTGCACACACACGCACTCACACATACCCCCCCCCCACCACCTTGTTTGATTTAGTCGAGGCAACAGAAACTTAGCAGGAGTGAAACCTGGGTCTGGCATTAGCCACCTTAGCATAGCTTCCCTTGGCCCTTTGAGTTCCTAAAAGGAAGGTGGCAGACCACAGTGCCGTAATGCTGCCCCCACAAGGTCAGGAACTTGCAGATGATGTCTTCACTTCCGCTCAAGGGAATGTTGATAATCATTGGGTTCTCTTAGCACTAGTCTCTGTGGCTCATATGTATGAATTCGAAGAGGCGCCCCCTCTGGACAGATTGAGAAAAGGGGCCCCTTCTGTGTGGACATGGCTTGGCAATCAAGTAGGGGTTGGATTTCAGCCCATCCATTCACCTGTCTCCACCAGATGTCTGGGCAGTCTACATCCCGAACGACTGCACATGGTGGCCCTGTCTCCTTGACATTAAACTAAACTCACCTTCACATCCTCTTCTGGGAGAAAAAAAACAATTATTGTCTGGGCATCCCTGTGCAGTATCTCTCTACTAATGCTCTTCCTCCCTGAACCTCAAGAATGCTCACCCTCCACTCCCAGCACTGTGAAGGGACCCCAAACCTGGCTTGGACATCCTTGCCTTGGGCATCCACGAACGGGGCAGAGACGCACTGTCCCTGGAAAGGAAGCTGCCTACGCCCACCCCATGCTGGGTTTGACTTCCAAACCCCTCACACAAGTCCTCTCTTTGATACAGTGGAGCAGGCCCTGGACCACAGCAGCCTTCGGCAGCTGGTGCTCAGCAACTATACCGCGAGAGAGTTTCGAAGCAGGGACTTACACTCAGACAGCATACCGGAGAGGGGGGATGATCTGAGGCTCAAGAAGAAGTTAGCGATCTGAGGCAGATGGTGCTGCGTTTGTACCTTAACCAGAGAGAATAAAGGTTTTGTTCCGTAACCCTGGTGCCTCCTCACACTCATTACAAAGAGACTAGACTAGGGTTCTGGGAGCCACCCTGGGATGGGATAGAGAAATTAGGACAGAAGAGCTGAGACAGGAAGCAAGAGTTGTAGGAGGTCACCATGGTTCCTGAAACACCCCCACCCCCGCCCCGAGATTGTGACCAGAACAAACCACTAGTACTTCTGAAATTAGAAATTAACTTCTTATAGTTAACGGATGTGATTTTTTGCTGAGTGAGCCATATTCTTAGAATGAATGTGAGGCCTCTTCCTCTTCATTTCTCATGGGGCCTGTCTAAGCACATCTAAGGGAGAAATATGCCAATGACATCCTAAAGGAGAGGAGGTCATGGAAGCTAGGCTCTGCAGATGCTTGAGCTCTTTGAAGAAAAGGGCTTTGGTCCTCTAGTTAACATTCCAATAAATTGTGGACCTTCATAGCAATAGTCCTGAGTGGCTGTGAAGGTCTATTTCAAATAAGAGTTATTAAAATTCAGTAATAATGGCAGCAGGGACATCACTCGCTCATACTCTGCCTTCACGGGAACTAGCAAAGGATCTTCCTGAAGGCACTTCTGTCAGAGAAACACCGTGAACAAATACACAACGTCCTGTTTATTTGAACACAGCTTCTGGATGGATTTCCATCTGCGGGGGGTGTGGGCCACGTGGTATCTATGTGCCCCTGAGGCTGCAAAGAAGATGGAGGTGGGTAATGAGGCAGCCGCCAGCTAACAGGCCCATAGCAGGGATGGCAGCATTACTGGGCAAAGTGAGAGGAGAGCAGGGACCACCTCCCCACCAAAGACAAGCCCAGGGTTGGGTGGTGAGCCCCTCTCAGTCCTTCTCTTCCCCGTGGGTGATGATGTGCACCAGGTTCTTATAGTCCAAGTTGCCAGTCACATCCGGGGGGAAGGCGGCGAACATCTGGTCAATCTGCAATGAACCAGCAACACATACTGAGCATGACGGGAGGGGAAGTGAGAGGGACCGCTGGGTGTGGGCTTGGTCCCCGTGCAGAGGCAGCAGGGCTGTGGTGGGTGTGGAGACACGACACTCAGGTCCCCCTCCAGGAAGGCCTTGTCGCTCAGCTGCTGCAGAGAGCTGCCAGCCCCAACGTCATGGCCTTCCTGGGGCAGCCCACAGCCAACTGATCAGTGTGGGGCCCAACTTGGGACCTCTTAGAAGGGAATGCTAGCTCTAGGGCTCCCTGGGAGGTGTGGGGGAAGCCAAGACACTCTTTGGGCCTGAACTGAGGTTCAACATCTCCCTCCATGCCTCCCTGCTTCCTTGTCCTTCCTTGCTCTTCTGCAGGTGCTGACCCCATGGGCCATCCAGCCCTGTAGTAGCAGGTAAAGCAGGGATCGCAAATGAAGGTGTACAAAGGGGCTAGGCAGACTGTGCAAGGGAGCAAAGGGGGGCCTGTGGCTAAAAGCAGACACACAACCCATCTCTACAGGGGCAGCAACTGGGCAGAGCCAGCCGAATGTTGTCGAATGGGCTAGGAGGTCACACTTTTTGAGAGAATCTGACTCTTTGAGGGAAATGAGAAATCTAGATTTTTTTTCAACATGCAATTTCCACATTTAAAAAGTATTGACTAGTTATTTTTAAAAATACCTCTTGGCCAATAATAGCTAACACATTGTCCTTATCACATGCTTTAGCATGTTATGCATATTAACTTGTTTAATCCTCACAGCGTACTACCAGGAAAGTTTTATTACCATCCCCACTTTACAGATGAGGAAACTGAGGCACAGTGGGGTTAAAGAGCTTGTCCCAAGTCACCAAGCTGGTAGGAGGTGAAGGCAGGCTCTTTTAAGTGCTTGAGTTTTAGGGGGAAATCTAAATACAGTTTTTAGTGAAATGTGAAACCTGATGCCATCAGGCCTGACCAGGAGCTATTTTTAAATATTTCATTAAAATAACATTGATGGGACTGTTGCTTATTGATACAGGACTTTGGGAGAATTAGCAAAAGTGCCCCCTTTTGCGCCTGCCAGAAAAAGTCGTATATACTGCTTTAAGAAGAAATAAAATTACAACAGGACACTTTACTGCCATCTGCTGGAAAACAATTGCAACAAATAGATACTCTGCAATATTATGAGTACAGCATCCAGAAGAATTGCACAGTGTGGAACCTACATGACAGTACACGGCACCCTGCAAGCTACCCTCACTCCGTCAGGAAACCGGTGCTCTAACCAGGGCTCCGTGCACTGTGAGGAAAGTAGACCTGGAGTCAGACAGACCTGGGTTTGAATCCAGGCCCCAGAGTTGAGCATTGGTGGTGTCCTTTAAGGCAAGTGACTAACTTCCCTGGGCCTCAGTTTCCTCAACTATAAAATGACAAGAATACTAGTCCCTACCTGATAGGGTGGTTGAGAGAATGAAATGAGATAGGGGGCTCAGTAGCAGGTTCTCTGTCAGTGTGGGGCCAGGGGTATTTTAGGAAAGGGGGTAACACAGGAGCTGGGGTGCAGTGTTGCGTCCAAGGGGCCATTACCTCCTCTTTGGAAAATCTCTCGGCCTGCGTGGTCAGCATCTCCCGAACGCTGCCAAGAAAGAACAGCAGGTGTTGGCATCAGGTGTGTGTGTGGGAAGCAGGGAACCCCCGTGTCCCCCCCGCACATCCCACTCACTAATCAGCCTTGAGCACCCCTTTGCCTTCGGGGTCAAACACTTTGAATGCGTTGAGAATGGTCTCCTCGGGGTCTGACCCTGAAACAGAAAACAGGGTTGAACATGCCCTGGGTGGCCGAGAACCCATGGTACTCCAGGAGGCAGGGCCCAACTCCCTCCAAAGATGGAAGGGCCAAAGCCAGGCTGTTTTGCTTGGAGGAAAGGCCCTGCCTTCCTCTGAGCACTGAACCTTGGTAATTGCAAAGAGTGGGCTACGAATCCAGTCATTTCTGAGCAAACCTAAGCTCAAACATGGATCTAGATTTAGAAAGACTGGGATTCGAATCCTGACTCCAGCATTTGCTAGCTGTGTGGCCATAGGCAAGGGGCTTTCCATCTCTGAGCCTTAGGCCAGGGATAAGAAGAGAACCTACCTCCTAGATACTAAACGAGGTAATGCATCCAAAGTGCGTGGCATGAGGTCTGGCTCAGGGTGAGCCTTGGAGCAATGGGAGCTGCTGTTTTCCCCCCTGCCCCCAGTGTTACTCTGCCTTCATCTTCTGCCAACCCTTGTCTGCCCTCCTGGTGCTTTAATTCACGCCCAAAGATGAAGACACGTAAAGATACACACGCACAAATGCACACACACATACACAAATATACACACACGGACCTACACATGAACTTACCCTTAAGTTTCTCTCCAAACATCGTTAGGAACACAGTAAAGTTAATTGGACCTGGAGCTTCCTTGAGCATTTCATCAATTTCCTCATTTTTCACATTCACACGCCCTAGGGCAGGAAACACACAGTCAGGGCCCCCCGGGCTGGGCCGGAAACAGCTGTCAGGACCCTGGCATTTGCCCTCGTAATTCCACTCGAGGGAATCTAGTCTAGGGACAATCAGAGATGCCAGATTCACTGGAAAAGATGTTCTCCACAGTGTTATTTATGATAGCCAGACAGCCGGAAACAACCCAAACATCCAACGGGGAGAGGGGCTAGCTACTTTTATAATGGTGTCTTCAGAACCTGGAACATTTTAAGCAGATCTTTTAACTTTTTACTTAAATGGGAAATGCTCCTATTATAAATTATCCCTCTCAGTTGGAGGTGGGAGAGACAGATCAGAATCACCTGAGGGAACTTTGTCAGATCATACCTGCTGTAACCCACACAACCTCGGAGGTTCTGATATACCTGGATTATAGCCTCTGCCACAAGCCCACATTGCACCTTTGTGCAAATTTTTAAAAGCCACCCCTTCTGAAGAGAATTTATGTTTTAAATATAAAAACCTACGGTGACTACAGACATGAATAGTAATCTGTAAAATGGTGTAATGCACAACCTGCAAGCTGTTCCTGGTAGCCCTGAGTTCTGAGAGCGGGAGTGGAGGGGGGGTGCGTGGTGGCAGGTTGGACACATATATTGTAAAAAAGCTCCATACACTCGTGCTCACACTGTTGAGATGCTAAATTTAAAAAGGTGAATCCAAAATAGAATGATTCCAATCTTAAAACAACCACCACAACAAAAAACTCACAAAAAACCAGATGTATCTAGAAAAGATTTGGAGGCTGAAACGCGACAGTGGAATGTGACCTAATGGTTAAGTTTTCTTCTTTATACTTTTCTGAATTTTGCAAGTTTTCTATTGTGAGCTGGCATTGCATTCAAAATCACAGAAAAAAATTTATTTTAAAAGAAAAATGAAAGATATGTGAGGACACTTAAAGCCTAAACACTTTGCTGTCTTCCGAAGTTTGTCTTAAAGGCCAACCATGATTGAGCCGCTTCTTGAAAAATGACAAGCTCTTGACCTTTTCAGTGGTCCCACCTTCTGCCCCTCAGGCGAGTGGGATAAGGAGACCCTCCTGCACGCCTAGCAGGGGCGGGGGAAGACATACCAAGAGCAGCAAAGGTGTCCCTCAAATCATTCTTGTCGATGAAGCCATCCCTGTTCTGGTCCATGATGGTGAAGGCCTGTGGAAGGGGGCGGTCAGCTGGTCAGCCCAGGAGAAGTTGGGTGGAGGAGCCCAAGAGATTGGGCTATGGACTGGGGGAAATGGGATTCTGGGATTCAGGGAGCACTGAAGGACATGTGATCAAGAATCAAAAATCGGAAATGTCTGGCCGTTCCTCAAAACGTTATGCACAGAGTTCCCATGGGATCCAACAATTCCACTGCTAGGCGTCTACCCAAGAGAATTGAAAACATCTGTCCCCACGGAAACCTGTGCCTGAGCATCCATAGCAGCTTTATTTACAATAGCCCCAACCTGGAAACGGCCCATATGTCCATCAACTGAGGGATGGACCCACCAAATGTGGTCTAGCCACGTAACAGACCACTACTGAGCAA